TCACCAATGGAACCTCCAGAGGTGCGTGTCAGAAAGTTCATCATGCTCGGGGCTGCCTGATCATCACAAGGCCCAGCCCCATTCAGGCTCTCAGCACGTGCTCTTGGAGCTCCAGATCACAGAAACCTGGTTACTTTCCTTAATATCTTCATCCTTACCCAGAGAATCTATGTCTTACCCCATGGGAACTGCAAACAGTACTCATATCGAGTAAGGCGTTGCCTTGAAGTAGATTTTACTGTCTCAGCTTGGAGAATCCCTTCCAGGGGTTCAGTCTGATGTCAGAAGAGGGAGTTGACCCTTCTCAAGCTTTTCTAGGTCTTGTTAATGATGTACAGCATGATAATTAGCATTTTCATCCCAGGCTGCAATTTAGAGATAAGCTTTCTCTCTTAATCCCTGTTTTCAGAAGCCTGATTAAAGCAATACCCGTTTTTTCCATAGATGTCCTGTGTCTAACACCTCCACACCATCCTTGAAATTAACGCACAGCGCTGTGCTACCCAGACTCAGATGAAGGTCTCTGAAGGTCTCTCTTCTGCTGAAGGCCAATAGCATGCTGTGTAATAGGAAAATATGAATCTCTCTCTCCAAAGCAGTGGAAAGTGCTGAGGGCTGCTCCACTAGGAGCTTTGTTTGTCCTTATTAAGAGAAAGGAACATCCTAAATTCACTTTGAGGAGGGATCTTGCTCTACATGCCTCTGCCCGTCACATGAGGAAGAGGCAATTCTGAACTATTGCTTTGATTGGCTTCCCGCACTGGGAAAACATCTCATTCTTGTAGAAGTGACCTAAATACATCTTATAAAAAGCATCAACTATGCAGTAACTTGGCCAGCTCCACAGCTCCAGTAAGGGCTCAGTACTGGGTGGTGAAGTCAGTAGCAGCTGAGTGAAGGCACTGGTAGAGCAGCTCCCAGAAAGCAGTGATCATCCGCTACGTCACGTTTATCCTACTCATGGTGCTCTATAAACACCAATTTGTCTCTGAATATTTTATTTCCTTTCTTGGTTCTTACCACCACATGTAGGTTAAGTGCAGAATAAATACATGAAAACTGGAAGTGACGTTATGTCAGACCTCTCCTCTCTGTACATCATCACCCTGATGATTTTTGGGTCTGACGCGGGGTCCAGTTGCAGGAAGGCTCTTACTTGGCTCTCTGGGGCTGGTTTTGTCCCTGTTGTTCTAGATCCCTTTCCATCCATTGAAGCCTGAAAGCTCAGGAACAAACGCTGCAAGTGCAGCCCATTTCCTTTCTGCTTCCTTCTCCCCCTACTTCACGGCCCCCCCCCCTTTTTTTTTTTTTAATTTTTTTTAAATCTCCCATGCGAGAGATGGCACAAAACAACGCAGAGGAAGGAGAACAGCAACCTGAGGCCTGACACTTTTGCTGAGGGCGTAGGAGAGTCACTCCTACCCAACCAACGGAGCGTGGCTGGGAGCGCTTCACTAACCCTGAACACTAATGACACCAAGTGGTAGCAATGGACCTTCAACCGTGTCAATCTGAGTCTGCTTCTCACCAGGCCGTCCCACAGCTGAAACAAATGTCAGCAGAGGAGGTGGTTTTTCTTCTTCTTCTTCTTATCTTGCTTTGCTTCCTTTTCCCATCTCTGGGGTCATGCCACGGCCACAGGGAAGTCCAGGAGACCTGCCACGATCACCATGAAGCCATCCATGTTCCGACCTGATGCAGCTGCTGAGGATCTCTGCAGGTTGAGGGCACCCCAGCAACCTCTCAAGTCAGTGACCCCAATTGCAGATCTGCTCATGGCATGCAGAAGCAGCTGGCAGGTTCTGGAGAATGTTGAGGCATGAGAGAGAGAGCTCCATACAGGAGCATGGAGCAACAAGGGGACAAGTGCAAAGCTGGAGAAAAAAAAACAAAAAACAACAAAAAAAAAAAACCCTCAACAGTTTACCAGTTTGTAATTTAAACTGAAGAGGGACTCCAGGCTTCAGCTTGAGTGGCTGCTTGTCAGAAAGGGAGAAAGAATGAAACAGCCCAGTGATGGAGCTGCAGGTGCAGCACCAGGCTGTGCAGTCTTCAGCCCCAGAGGTTTTTAAGACTCAGATGGACAAATCCCTGAGCTGACCCTGCTTTGAGCAGGTGGGTAGACTACAAACACGCTCAGACCCAGCAAAACCATGGTCATGGAGACGTGGCAGAGGTCTGTTTAAGCTCTAAAAGCACTGAAGTACATGGTTTTCTCCAGTCTTACACATGACCAGTCTTACGCATAGCAGGGACACATCATCACCATCTCCATCTTTACTCTGAGCCTGCTCAGCACCTGAATCAGTACTCAAACATTTATATTAATAAATTAATTAAGTTAAACTCCCCAAATTGAGTTTGTTTTGCCTGTGACAGTAATTCCTAAATGATCTACTTATCTTTATCTCAGGGACTGGGGGAGATGGGGGCAAACAGGCAAGATGAGCATTTCTTGCTAGGTGGGTTAAGTAAGAAGGATCTCACTCAGGTGCCGCATGGCAGATTCCTGCTGTAACATCCGGAAATCTGTCTGCCTTCCCTCAGGCCTCCCTGAGCAAGATGTAAGCTGGCAATCCCACAACATGGCATGTCGTAAGACAGCTGAGCATCAGGTCAGAAATCCCATACAGCTGCCATTCCATCACAACTGCCAGCTCTCAGGCATCTGGTCTGCTCCAGCATCAAATATGATAGGCTGAGCCATTATTTTTCTTGCTTATTATTAGTTTATAAGCCAAGGCTTTGCTACAGCTAATAGAAGGCAGACTGGGGGCTGCTCATCTCCCAGCACACAGCAACAAGTGTGTGGAGAAAATAAGTTTAAGAGAGGCACCTTCCTGAAAAACTTCCCCTTGGCTTGGTCCCACTCCCCTGAAGTGGGAAGGATCCTAGCACTGATCCAGGCATGGATCATGCCTTGGTACAACATGGCCTGCGTGCACTTGAGAGAATGGCTCTCCTCCCAGCAGGAGCTCAGAGCAGCCCCCTGCAGAGGTCAAGGCTGAATGCATTATGAGAAGGATGCAGGGGACAGCTTACAGCTTCCCTTAAGGCACCTAGTGTCAGAGTTAGCTCTGCTTGAGGATGTGCCCAGGGTAGCTGGGGGACAGTATATGAACAGCACTTTACAAAGGTACAGAAACTTATTCTGTAATCTCTGCTTGTTTTCCAGCCTTCTGCATCTCTGAAGACAGTATACTCGCTGTTCTAAACACATCATTAAAAACAAGTTAACAAAAAGACAACCTGCCTTCTTCAGCTGTTCCAGAGGACCCTGGGGCCACACACAAGAGCTTAGCCATGGGCACACATTGCAAGCACACCACAGTCATCCTAAAGCAAGTACACTCCAACAAGGAGAACTTATGGAATCATAGAATCACACAGGTGGAAAAAGCCTTAAAGATCATTGAGCCCAACCACAACCTGACCATGCACCTTAACTCTAACAACCCACCACTAAATCACGTCCCTGAGCACCACATCCAAATGTTTTTTTAAACACATCCAGGGATGGTGACTCAGCCACCTCCCTGAGGAGCCCATTCCAGCACTTCACAACCCTTTCTGTAAAGAAGTGTCTCCTGATATCCAACCTAATCTTACCCTGGTACAACATGAGGCCATTTCCCCTCCTGTCACCTGTAAGAAGAGACCAACCCTGCTCTTGCTCTAAGCACCTTTTAGCTATTAGAAGAGAGCAATAAGGTCTCCCCTCAGCCTCCTCTTCCCCAACTAACAACCCCAGTTCCTTCTCCTCACAGGCCATATTCTCCAAGCCCTTCACCAGCCTTGTTGCCCTTCTTTGGACCAGCTCAGCACCTCCACGTCCTTTCTGTACTGAGGTGCCCAAAACACAACACAGTACTTGAGGTGAGGCCTCACCAGAGCAGTGCAGAGCAGGATGACTTCCCTGGTCCTGCTCACCACACCATTCCTGATACAACCAGGATGCCATTGGCCTTCTTGGCCACCCAGGCACACTGCTGGCTCATCTTAAGCCGACTGTCCATCAGTACCCAAAGTCCCTTTCCATCAGGCAGCTTTCCAGCCACTTCCCCCCAAGCCTGTAGGGTTGCCTGGGGTTGTCATGACCAAAATGCAGGATCCAACACTTGGCTCTACTGAAATTCACACAGTTAACCTTGTTAACTCTGTAGTGCCTTTCTCCCCTCTGGCAGATCAACACTCCCTCCCAGCTTGGTGGTGTCTGCAAACTTACTGAGGGTGCACTCAATCCCCTCGTCAAGACCATTTGTAAAGATGTTGAATAGAAGCAGCCCCAGCACTGAGCCCTGAGGCACACCACTCGTGACTGGTTGCCAACTGAATTTAACTCCACTGACCACAACTCTTTGGGCCTGGCCATCCAGCCAGTGTTTCACCCAGCAGAGCATACATCCATCCAAACTGTGGGCAGCCAGTTTCTCCATGAGAATGCTGGAGGGGACAGTGTCAAAGGCTTTACTGAAGTCCAGGTTGACCACATCGACAGCTTTACCTTCATCCATTAAGCGAGTTACCTTGTCATAGAATGAAATCAGCTTTGTCAGACAGGATCTATCATTGGTAAGCCCATGCTGACTGGACCTGGTCCCCTGGTTGACCCTTAACCAGTCCACAATGGCTCCCGAGATTATCCATTCCATAACCTCCCCCAGCACCGAGGTGAGACTGAAAGGTCCGTAGCTACCAGGATCATCTTTCCAGCCCTTTTTGAAGATGGGCATCACATTTGCCAGTCTCCAGTCCACTGGGACATCCCCGGTAGCCAGGACTGTCAAAGAATGACGAAGCATTATAGAGGATTGCTGCAGTAGCAAGTGCTGTAAGAACTCACCCAAGTTTGTAATTTTGTTTTAGATCAATAAGCAGGGCAGCAGGAAGCATAGCCTATCACCTCCTGGCTGATGAGAAGCAGGAGCCTCCTTCCATTCTGCATTCTTCCTGCACAAGCCATGGGGTCTGCCTTTCCACCCTCAAGAAAAAGTCTGAGCTAGCATCTGCAAAGAGCTGGTTTTATTCACAGGGGCACATCAGACAACAAGGAAGCAGAAAACATACAGGAAATATACAGGGAGGATCTGCTTTTCATACAAGCAATCACTATTAACAGTATTACAGAAAGAATAAATGTGATGTTGCTACAGTAACCCACAAGGATGATGCTCTCCTCCATTTGCCATGCACAGCTTAGCCTGCTGACCTCATCCTTCACTGCTGCGCTTCTTCAGTTTGAGAAATACTTCTCCAGCACCTTTGTTAAAAGCCCAGTCTCCTACAAGAAAAAGCACAATGGTGAGCCACAACTCCCCTGTGCCACCTCAGCTGATATCACATGCACAGCCCTGGGGTGGCACTGTGAAACCCCAGCACACTGAGAGCCAAGCCCTGCTACTGCATGTGGTTAAAAAGATGAATAATCCCCATTCGCAGCCCTCTCCTGTTCTGTGAGACTTCTGCTATGATTTGCATGGAATGGTGTGTGGGATCCTGCTTCGTGGAGGGACATTTTGAGACAAATCCCACCAGCAGCAGGTAGGACCAGCCCACGTGAAGCAAAGGATTTGTTTAATGTTTACAGGAGCCCACAGGAAGGGAGAACCAGTTTATGAATGATCAGTGATACTGTCTCAGTGTAAGAGGTCTGCTCAGTTTTTGAACAGTAGTGTGCATTCCCAACAGTTACCCTGCAGCACAGCACAGCTTTTGTGCTGAAGCACCAGAACAGCACTTGCATGTTAGTTCTTGCCCCGCTGAGAAACAGGAAGGGAGAAGCATCTCTGCTTTTCTAAACTGCTTCAGGATGGAAGTGACAGACCCTGAGAAGAAGGTGTACAGAGTTTCGCAGCACAAAGCTGCTAAGCAGCTTCTTAGGCAGGTGGCAAATGCAGCACGCACACCAGCTCAAGCACAGGCTGGCTGCTGACCCCAGGTGTCCAACAACAGCTACAGGAAGGGAGAAAGCAGGAACAGCAGGAGGAATTTATGCTGCTGTCATGTCATCCCAACAAGAGCAAAAAAAGGTCCCACAGAAATGTATAACGACAGCGCTCGAAAGCATCATGGAGAATTAACGTCAACCAGCAGCTCAGAAGCACAGATGGTCAAGGGGGTGAGTGGTAGGAAAAAAAGGAACAGGAAGGCAGAAGCCAGTCCAGAGGTGCTCAGGGTACTTGAAGGACAGAAACAGATCTAAGACCCAGCCGGGAGCACGTGCAGATTGAGGCAGGAGAGCTGTGAGGTTCTGGAAGGAACTGGTATGAGGTAGGAGCCAACTGCCTGCCAGGCACCCAGAATGGGGTGCAACCTCACATCCAGGCACCAGATGGGCACTGGGCAGCCCACATACCAAAGACTGATGTCCAGCACTGGGTTCTAGCTCTGGCTCCATCTCCAGCTGTATCTTCTGTCCCAAGGGGATTAGCTTGCTAGCAGATCCTCAGTTTACCTAAATCTGATGAAATTGAATCAGGGAGGTCCTTGAGCACTTGAGTACCACTCAGGCTCACATCCCTGCAGCTCCACTCCACCTGTGCCTATCCCAAAAAGCAAACAGGAGCAAGCACTGCCTAATCAGTGCTTCTAGATGACAGAAGCAGCTTTACCTGTGTTCAGCTACTGAATGGCTCCTCAAGCATGGCAGCTCAGTGGGAGCACACACAGGACACACCCATGAGGATTTCATCTCTTCTAGGCTCTCCATTACTTTCTGCTGTTGAACAGAAAGTACAAGACACCAAGGAAACACACAAGAGGCAGCAAATGGGCAGAAACATAGCCCAAGCAACTCCATCTCCACCTCTTGCGTGAGGATCTGTGCATGCTTTGCTCCCAGGGGCTAAGTTCCCACTAAGAGCTGGGAAAGCCCCCAGGGAAAAGCCACACCAAGGAGCTAAAAAGAGGAATGTGAAGATCTGCTGATGTGGTACAGGAACCCCTGCTGTAGATGGGGCATGCGACTGCTCCTAAAGACCTGTTCTGCAGGGAAATAACACACACCTCACCTCTCTGCAGGCCAAACTAACAACATCACACGTCCCCCGCACCCTAACCACAGCAAAACAGCCCCAGAAAGGGGAATTAGAAGACTAAAACCTTTTTGCAGGACAGACTCTTCTTCCTGCACGTACAGAGCAGTGTCTCTCTAGACCTTTCTCTGCAAGGAGAGAAGAGGCAGGATTTGCACTCCTTGTCTTCACCACAGCTGGATAAAGGGACACATGTGGCAGCCGCAGCAGCCAGCTACCCTCATCTGCATCAGAGGAGGATCCAGATGCTCCTTAACAACCCCTGACCTGGAGATCACCTCATCCCCTGCTCAGCTCTCCAAACATGAGGACAAAAAGCCCCTGCTGTTCAGCCGAACACAATCCTAGAAAGAGCCGAACCTCCAGCAGCAGTGCAGGTGCTTCCATCTCCACCACCTCCCTGCTCCGGGCATCTCCCTCCATACCAGCCAATATTCACCTGGTCAGCGAGATCGTATTTTCTTTGGTTCTGATCCAAAAGTCTTTCTTGCAAGAGGATTTTCAGGAGCTCCCGGGTAAGCAGTTCCACCACGTCCTCCAGCAAAGCTCTGAGCGAGGGGCCGAAAGACATCGGTGCCGCCGGCTGCGGCAGTTCATCCATTCGCGGGGTGCCCGGCACGCTCTTCTTCCCCATGAAGTGACCTGCAACACAGCGCGCTCGTGTGCCTCGCGCCCGGCAGCGGGGCGGGGACCTCCGAGAGCCAGGCTGCGACCCGCACCGCACGCCGACAACCCGCAGCCAGCGAACCGAACGCCTAGAAGAACCCAGCAGCCCCGGAGCCTCGCTCGGGGAGCCCTCCTCCTCCGACGGCATCTCTACGGCCATAGGACCGGCGGCTCGGCGCCGGGAGCCGCGAAGAGAGCAGTGCCCCTCACCTCCGCCGGCAGGACCGCCGGGCACAGCCGGGGCGCCACGGCTCCCAGAGCGGCCATCCGTGCTCCGAAGGAACTGCGAGCTCCGTTTGCGAAAGGAGACCTCAGGAGACGGCGTGACCGCAGCCCGCCCCAACCGCCCCTCACGGGACCGCCGCGCCAGTCCCAGCCCCGCAGCCTCGAGCACCGACCCCGGCCGCTCTGCCCCGCGGGCCCCCGGTACCTGTGGCCCACAGGTTGCCGCGGGGGTTCACCTTGATCTTGGCCGCCTGGCTGCGGTGCTCGGCGAAGTCGAGGTGCACGGCGCGCCCCAGCACAGCGCCGCACAGCAGCAGCAGGACGCAGCGCACCGCCACCATGACCGCCCAGGCGGGACACGCTCCCGCTTAGAGCGGCCGGCGCCGCCGCTTCCATTTATACTGAGCGGGGGGGGCGGGGACTCTTCAAGCCACGCCCCCTCCTCGAGCTGCCCCTGCCTGCTGCTTTCCCGCCCTCCGCGTCCACTCAGGGCGTCGCGCGGAGTCACAGGGCGTCGTGGTGCGGCGGGACACACGGAGCGTCAGGGCCGCCTCACCGCCAGCCGCTGCGCTTTTATCTACACTGTCACCCCAAAAGAGCCCACAGTACAGCCTAAAATGGCACCAAAGCAGCCCCCAAAAGGCCCAAATGATGTCCGAACTGCCCGCAGACAGTCTAGCTCCAAATGGCACCAAAATGACACTGAAACAATCCCAAAACGGCACTAAAAGATCCCAAAATAACCTCAAAACAACCTGAAGTGGCGCCAAACCCAAAGCTCTGCTTTACCAGGAGGTCCAGGTCGTGGGGAGGAGAGCTTCCCTGGGAATAGGCACAGGGAAGACTGCTAGCATTGCGCTTCTCAGGGTTTATTGCTGCTGGAGAGAAAAGATCTTGGGGCAATTCACTGCTCCCTCAGCCTGGGGTACAGTCTGAACTGTAAACACAAAAGCAAGCACAGCTTTAGTGTTACAAGAAGAAAAAAAAGAGTATAAAGCCTCATGTGCTCCCAGGGTCCTCACAAATACTGCGGGAAGGTTTCACCCACGTCAGAGGACACGATGCCTAAGTCATGCTCCTGCCTGGCCCTGCAATGCTCCTAACAGAGAGGAGAAGACAGCTACCAGGACTGTCACCTTCCAAGCAGCGAGAGCCAACACAGCATTTAAAGCAGGACAAAGTCTTTTGTTCTGATCTGATTGTAACTGGAAACACAACCAACCTGATGCAGATCTTTCTTCTTTTTCAGCTGGCAGCTGCAGCTGTTTCTCTCTTCCAGGCTGTGATGAGGGATTGCAAGCCAGGCTGGGAACAGGTAAGTGGGGAGCTTTTCTGTCACAGCCTTGTAACAAACACTCAGAAGCTGATGGCACACTGCTTTAATTGCTTGACACAGAGGCTTAGCTGGACAAGGTGCAGGAAGATTTGATTAACAAAGGCTCAAAACCCTGGTTTCAAGCTGGGGAAAAGCAACACAATAGCTGCTCAGGGACTCGACGCAGGCTGGAAGTGGACATGATTCCGGGCAGCCAGCGGGGTTTTATGGAAAACAGGGAAATAGACCCAAGCCCACTGCTTGCTGAGCAGTACAGTTGATGCTAAAGGAATCTGTACAGGCAAGGTTTTAGAATACCAATTTCGTCCCCTGCCGTGATCTTGTTAAAATGGAGTTCCCAACACCAAAACACAGAGCACAAACCCGAAGCTTAGCACAGCTCGCCCTCTTAAGTGGCATAATTACAGTCAAGGGCAATTTCTAGTTGTATAATCAATGAATGTACAGATATTATAATTATGAATTATACCAGAGAGTTTGGCTAAGTAGTTGTTATACCAAAAGAGAATAGATAGAATGCTTACCCATATCCTGGGCTCACTATGAAATTCCAGAGGAGAGATCTCCAGAAGAGATCCTTCCCCGCTGGTAGCCAGCTCTTAAATGGGTCTGGGAGAGGTGCAGCCAGGCTCCACCCCTTCCAGCAGCACAGGTGAACTGCCTTCACTGTTCTCTGAGTGAGTGCTCACCTCAGGTGATCGATCAGGCCGTGATTCAGCAGTTCCCATGCACTAGTGAACGTTGTACCGGTGCTAAGCAGCCCCTGGACAGGATGCTCAACAGACTGGGTCCACCTAAAACATGTGTTACCACACCTGGGAGTAACAACTGCAGCGGTGATCACACTGCAGCCAAGCTGTTCCCTTCCTGAGCAGGCAAGAGTGCTGCTCCTGAGAATGAACAAACATGGTTTGAAAGGTGGCTGCAGTGCAAGTGACCTTGCTTACAAATGGAGACCAAATTTCCACTGGATTTTTTCATCTGTATCTCCATTGCAAAAACATGATATTTGTAATTCAGGAAAAACAGCTGGCACCCACACTTGAAGTCTCCTGCTTGGGAGAGGTTCAATGACCCAAGTTCCAGCACCTGGGGCAGAAACTGTCACTACAGTGCTCCTCCACAGCTTGCTCTCTGCAGCTCAGAAGTTCACCTTACCAACTGCTATTTGCCACCAAAGGAATCTCCCCAGTTAATATATTTTACAAAAGACGTTACAAATTCCATTTTAGAAATTGATTTCTGCCAGCAAAGGTCACAACATTGGTTTCTGCAGGTGGTACAGGAGAGTCGCCTGTCAGCCACCGAGAGCCTTGCAATGGAGCTGGGGAAGGACGGAGGTGACTCAGCACAGGCTGGACTTCTGATAGATGGCTTTGCCCTCGAGGCAGTGTGCATCTGCGCAGAGCCCACCGTCCCCTTTCCTGCTGGGATTAACCCCTGGAGCTGGGCCAGAGCAGCCTGCAGCCGCCTTTCTGCAGCTGGATCCGTTCCTTCCCACCTGCAGGAACCATTCCTTCTCACTCAAGCCAGCCTGAAGGACCTCGGGATCTTTCAGCTTGAGCTGCTGGTTTCCCCTGATGCCTCTGGTTGGAGGAAACTGCCGTGGTATGTTCTACTCTCTATTTTTCCCTATTAATTCTCACTTGCAATTTATTTTCTCGATGACTACTGACCACTGAAATGACATTTTCATAGCACAATCTGTTACAACCCCAGTGTTCCAGATGGTAACACTTAACTCGGAACCCATTGTTTTATAAATAGAGTTAAAATTGTTTTTTTCCCCCGTGCACAATTTTGTATGTATGTACATTTGAATTTCATCATTTTTATTGCCCACTCTCTTTTCACAGTTGGCCTTCATCCACACCAACCCTGAAAAACTTAATATCAACACCAAACTTCAGCATTTGCCTTCTTTTGCAGATCATTTTTGAACGTGCTGAACTCAATCTCTGCACAGTACCCTGGTGTTTTCTGCTGCGGAAACTGTTTCCTTCTACCTTTTAGCAAAAGATTTCTCCCAGTAAGGGCCTCCTCTTGTATTCCAGGTCTCCTTCCTCTCCTTAGGAGCCTTCTCTGAGGGCCCTTGCCAACTACCTTTGGGAAATGCAGCTGGATGATCCCAGCAGGATCACCTTGCCCACACACCTCCTGATTCCTTCAGCGAGCTCCAATTTTCTTGTAGATTAGGTCCTACTCCTTTCCGGCCTGCTGATCTGGTTTATAGCCTGCAGATCCCCACATTCCCAGCTCACCAGGAATCCCTTGGTGCTTCTAGTGAGTGTTGCAGGGCAGGCAAATAGCTCAATGCTTTCCGTGTCCCACAGCATCTCCATCCAGGCCCCAGGGTTTGTTGTTGTCCTTTCCTTCACTGGTTTCTTCTGTGAGTTCTCATACCGATGTTTCCCAGAGCCCACGGCACCACAGGACACCTGGGATGCCTCCTTCCTTATCAGTCAGCAACTCCAGCCTGCGCAGAGCTGATGAGGGTACTGACAGACCCGTGAAACTATCAACAAATCCAAACGTACCTAAAAGTGAAGCAGAACAGATTTTCCTCTAGCTCTGCAGAATAAACGTATCATGCTCTGCACAGAGGGCCTTGCTAATGCTGAGCTAAGAGTGGGCAAAGTTAACGGAGCAATCTGGAAATGCCGTGGTTCAGAGGGCTCAAAACAAGGTCCATTTTATTTCCTCGCTGTTGATTTATGCTTTGATACCTTGCCATTGATGGATGCATCTCCCAGGCAGCCCGGGAGGGACTGAGCTGCAGAGCCCCAGAAACACGGCGTGCATGTTTCTAGCCCTGCAATATCCACTGGGCAGGAAAATGCATGCTCAAAACCAATGGCTCTAATAAAAAACACACACGAAGAGCAAAGGCCTCAAAGCCCCTGTGCGTCTCTTTCACAGAGCTCCTGGTGCCAATAAAACTCTTAGCAGCAGATAAGTTGCTTCAGCTTCTCCTTCACTGTTCCTCCAAAGCCAGGTCAAACTTAAAGCCCTGTCATACGCCCCAGGCTCTGTTTTGACGCATTTGCCTCTTGTTTACAAAGTTTGAATCCCTCTGTTACATTCATTCTTCCACAGGCAGCAGTGGTTGTTGATAAAAGATAAACTTTGAAATCTCACACATCTTGTTTTTCAATTTTCATTTAAGCAGTAAATGAGTTGTGGTTTTCCCTGAGGTTTCCCACTCACTCCACACCCGCTGGACACAGTACAAATAACAGCTTTGTAACAAGACTTAGAGAAGAAAGTCGTGTTTTCTTGCAGGCAAATCCATGCCTAGATCAGAAGTGTCCCAACCAGAATTACGTGGCAGAAGACTGATGTCCCTCTTTGAGTGAATTGAGGCTTAGAAAAATTAAACTGAAGTTCATTTTCTCCACATTATTTTTACTTCTGCCTCTCTGGAAATTGAAACCCTGCAAGACTGGTTCTATAGGAGAAAGAGAAATTGGAGAGCAGAGGCGATAGCAAGATACTCAGCAGAGAGTGCTCCAAGAAGTGCTCTTAAATTATTAAAGAGAACTAGCAGGAAAGTCAAGAGATGTGGGGGCAGGCAGAGAGAGCGGGAGCAAGAGAGCATGTTTGCGCCATCCTGGATCACAGGGTGCATTTCTAATCTGTCCCTAATTAGACAGATCTCTGTGCAGTTTTGATTTCCACCAAGGCCTGGGGAACTTTGCTAGATCAAACATTCAAAAGACCTATTAGAATTGAACGCGTGTATGAACAGCCCCGTGAGCAGAAAGGGATGGAAGCGCCGCAAGGGAGAGCAGAAGGCAAAAGAGGCAGGAAATTGCCTTACGACGCAATATAGGTGCTGCTTCCCCAGAGCTAAGGTGGACCAGTCATCTTCAGGGCATGGAGCAGTGCCAGGAGCGGCTGGCACGGATGGGAACCGAAGGTTGTGGCTGCCTGGCATCACCAGGGTGTACCTGGCAGTCAGAGGTCCGGAACCAGGACACCGCCTCCTCTGATTCAGCCCCTGAGTCACCCACACTGCTGGCCTTCAGCCGGGGTGCTCTGTTTCTCCTGCTGCAGCAGAGGAGAGTCTCTGCCTAAGCCACCTCTCCTCCCTTGGCATCCCTGTTCAGCTCGTCCTGGGAGCTGTACGCTGGGTTTGCCATCGTGTGTTTCCCCAGCAAGAAGCAGTCTTCTATCCAAGGATAACGCTTTGCTTTACAGCTTCTCCTTGGAAAACATAAGGTTGACATGTTCTGATTATGAAGGCAGTAAAAGCACCATGAGATCATCCAGTTTTATTAAGGAAAGCACGAGCCAATTGTCTTACAAACGCAGTCCTTAGAAACTCCCTGCTTAAGCAGTATGCAGCGGCAGAGGAAAACTGGTAATGCTCACTGCTGTTTGGCTGATGATGTGCATTCAGGCATCATAAACACACAAACAAAGACAGCCTTCGTTTCAGAGAGCTTCAATTTTCAGCACGTTACTTCTCACAGCTCACCGCCCATCCATCATACTTGCCTGTCTGCCTTTGATGTGAAAAAAGTCAGCCATCAGAACTGTAGCAATGATCAGAGACACCCAGCACTGCTTTGCTCTGAGGCAGCTCCTGCCCCTGCCGGGATCTGTGCACTGCAGAGCTGCGCCCCGGACTGCAGATGTCATCGAGCAGTAATTAGGCAATGATATTGTCTACCAGAAAATCTGCTGTGTTTGGCTGTAACCACAACAGAGCCCGTGGCAGTCTTAGCCCAGGCTGGTTGTTTTTTTTTTCCCATTGGTTTTTTTTTTTTTTTCTTTATAAACCAGACCTTTCAACACCCACATGCTTTACAAATAAATCTCGTTCCTGTTGTGACACAAAGGTCTCCATGTTTCCTAAGCCACCCTGAGATCCTTAAGCCTCAAAGGCTTTCCTGCAGCAGCCTCACCTTTAAAAAAAGAACAAACCTGAAATAAAACACAAAGCCTCAGCCCATCTAAACAGCAAAACCCCTGGCTCTGTGGGAGCATGGCAGCACTCGCCAGACCTTTCAGCATTAGCAACCAGCTGAACCAGAGATCCTGCACGCTCCATAGCTTTTCTGCTCTGCAAAGCAGAATAAGAGTTGGGGAATGGAGCCAGCAGCAGCTCTTTGTCATCCTGCCCCCACGCTCCCAGTTTGCAGCCTCTGCAGCCTCATCCCCAGCATCTTCCCTTCCCGCAGTGGCAGAAGAGGTGTTGGAGGGATGCAGGTGATGTGGGAGGTAGCATAGGAGCTGGTGGGTGTTGGAGCTGCAAATGGATTTGCGGCATGAATCCTCACTCTTATGAGAGCCAACACCTCATTTCATGGCTGCAGATAACACAGATCCACGTTCTCAGCTACACTGAGCTTTGAAGAGGCGGAAGATGGCCTGTGGAGGTCGTTTCCCAAATCACACCATGGCTCCAATAATCACTAAACCTGGGCTGGAACTACCCCACACTTTACCCAAAAACATCCTTCATTTTTCAAACTCTTCCTGCTCATTTGCGGGTCACCATGCAAGAGCAAAGCTGGGAAAGACCTTCCTGCACCCAAATCTGCAGTCCTCAGCCGCACTGACTGCTGACACCTGCTGCCAGCAGCCGGCATCGCCAGCCTGGGGGCCGTGCTGCAGGCAGGACGGGGACTTTGCTATTTCCAGACATCTGAAAGGACCGTTTCTCATCTCAGGTGCTTGTGGAGAGCTAATTCCTACACCCCTCACCATCAGAATCCCTTTGTGCTTTGCCCCCTTTTTTTTTTTAATTTTAATTAGCTCGGTGACAGTAACACAACTGCCAATGCGAAGTGTGAAAGCTAGAGAACCCAGAGAACAGCACCTGCAGCAATTCCAGCAAGTTTTCACTGAGACGTGTTGATTAGCAGACTTCAGAAGAGCTTGACTCAGCCCCTTATATCATCCCAAGTTAAAATAAATTTAAATTAATGCACAGAACAACTCAAGACAAAGGCAAAGCAGGGAACGCAGACCCAGCATCAGTGCTACTTGCAAATACAGAAATGTTGCTCCAGGTCCTTGAGAAGGTGCTCCATGTTGGCAGTAGCCCTCACAGAGATTTTCTGCTGTCTCACTGCTGCCTGGGTTTGGCTGTGACAAAACATCCCATCCCTCACTCCAATATTTTCACAAACTGAATCCAAATTCTCTTCTCGAGTGCTCCAACAAGAGGCAAATGGCAGATACAAATTTTTATTACTGTTTTGTCTTACTAATTGAGGATTACTCAAAGAGCTGCAGGCCCAAGGCTCACTGTCAGCAGCTGGACCTGTTTGTAGACTGTTTGCAAATACATTTGTTTTGCTTCACCTCACAACATCCTTCTCTCCAAATTGGAAAGATACGGATTTGATGGGTGAACTGTTCAGTGGCTGCAGGATCAAGTCCAAAAAGTGGTGGTCAATGGTTCAATGTCTGGATGGAGATTGATGACAAGTGGTGTCCCCCAGGGGTCAGTGTCAGTACTGGTACCCTAATATCTTCATCAATGACATTGACAGGGAGGTCTGAGTGCACCCTCAGCAAGTTTGCTGATGACACCAAGCTGTGGGAGTGGTGACACACCAGAGGGACAGGATGCCATCCAGAGGGATTTAGACAGGCTGAGCAGTGGGCCTGGGAGAACCTCATGACGTTCAACAAATCCAAGCGCAAGGTCTGCACCTGGGTTGAGGCAACCCCCACTAACAAAACGAGCTGGGGATTCAAGGATGGAGTGCAGCTCTGCCAAAAAAGACCCGAGGGTCCTGGTGGATGGCAGCTGGACATGAGTCAGCACTGTGCCCTCGCAGCCCGGAAAGAACCGTATCCTGGGCTGTATCAAAAGAAGCCTGGCCAGCAGGGTGAGTGAGGTGGTCTTGTGCCTCTGCTCTGCACTGTGAGGCCTCAACTGGAGCACTGCATCCAGATGGGGAGTCCTCAGTACGGGAGAGACACGGACCTGCTGGAGTGCCTCCAGAGGAGGGCCACAAAAATGCTCCAAGGGACAGAGCACCTCCATTTGAGGACAGGCTGAGAGCTGGGGCTGTGCAGCATGGAGAAGAGGCGATCTGATAGTAGCCTGTCAGTATCCAAAGGGGAGACACAGGAAAGAAGGGGAGACTCTTTAGAAGGGTCTGTGGTGATAGAACAAGGGGAAATGGCTTCAAGCTCAAAGAGGGAAGATTTAGGTTAGATATAAGGAAAAAATCTTAACAGTGAGGGTGGTGAGGCACTGGAACAGGTTGCCCAGTGTTGTGGTTGACGCCCCATCCCTGGAGACTTTCAAGGTGAGGCCGGATCAGGCCCGAGGCAACCTGATCTAGCTGTGATCCCTGTGCATTGCAGGGGAGTTGGATTAGATGGCCCTCAGAAGTCCCTTCTCAAAGGGAACAGATCCAAGGATTCTACGATGCTCCTCAGGCAACAAACCATGCAGTTAAACCAATTGGCTTTGTTCAGGTAGGGATACTACAGGTCAGCACAGCTGCTGAGTGTTAAAGAAAACAGCCTCATGGACACAGCACCTCTATAGATTGCACAAGTCTAACAAGGTACATATGCAAGAAGCCAAAAATAGAACATAAGTGAGGTTTTGTCCTTGCCCTTCCGGACTGCTGTACCCTACACAAGCTGAGTGTGTGACAGCAGTAATCATCTTCAATAATCCCTGTTGCTGGGCAATCTGGGAGCAGTCATGAAGAAGAGGGAATAAAGGATGCAGTGAAATGAACTGAAGTAACACACGTCAAGTGGCCTTGAACTGCTGGTAGGTTTTGCAAGATCAAGAGGAAAGTTGTCAATCCTGGGACAGCACAGGCAGGGATAACTTGGCTCCTGCTGCCAAGCAACACAACCAGAGATAACTGCACAAGAAGGGTCAGGCAGCCTCAGGTGGAGGCAGCAAAGGCACCATGACCCCAATGCCTGTTCTTGTGAAGATCTGCCCTAACAAAGGGGAGGTAAAATCTTTCCATTAGTCAGCACAGACAGCATGGATGTAAGTTACAGTGGTCACACAATCAGTAGAGGCAGATGCTCCAGAGCTTCTGCCTTGTGTCTTAAACTCTCCTCCAACACCACTTCTACACAAACAACATCACTAACAAGAAGCTCACAAAACAAGCTGTTGCATGTGGTGATGAGAGGCAGCTTCTTTAAAACCACTGGGCAGTGGTGGTTTGGACAAAGAGTAGCTTCCACATGAGCAAGATGTGGCCAGCTAGGGGTACTCTGATCCTTTTTCCAAAATGACAACCCAAAAAACCTAACACTATTGCATCCTACTAAATCATCCTTGCCAAACAGCTGTGGGTGTTTCCCATCTCAAATCTTCTATTACCTAGGGCTGCACTGAATGTTTGTGTTCAAAGTAATCTTTTGCTATCTTCTGCCCAAAACACCTTGCAGCCCTGAAGCAGATTATTTCAGTGTGATTTACAGGAACATAACAATACTGAATGGATCTACAGCTCGGGACTGCTTACTCTTCAGAAAGAAAGGACAGGAGCAGCTGCTACTCTGTAAGGAGAGGATGTCAATTCACTGAGCTCCAGGAGCCCACTTGCAATGACAAAGCCTACCCCCTCCCTGGGCAACAAAACTGGGCAACAAGGCTGGGCAATAATGAAGAATGTGGCAAGATGCTGGGCAAGATGTAAAATCTTTATTCCAGTTCTAAATTGGAAAAAAACCATCACCTCCACAGATCACCATTCGACAGTCAGCATGGGGAGAGGTCACATTTGCCCAGCAGAGGCACAGGCTTAAAGGACACAGTCCTGTAGGCACTTGGAGAGGAAGCTCAGCTTCAAAGTACAAACACTGAACAGTTTGGCTTAAAGTTTTAATATAAAAAACCTCACTAAAAATGCTAAAATGTGACAAACCATTGGAAATACTGTGACAAACATTCGCCCTTAGGCAGTAAAAAACAAAACAAACCCAAACTGGCAAGAAGCTTTGAAATGTACGTTTTCTTCTTCCTCCCGGCACATCGGACCATCGTCTTCTACTTAAAACGTTCACCTACACAACCCATGGAATTTTCACTGCGTTCTTCAGTGCAGCAGGCTACTCTCGATGGACCAGCACAAACAAACCCAGTAGAAAGAGGACTGCGTACTGTAAGACAAAGCAGAAGAGACAAAGAGTGCACACTCACCTCTAAAGATGCAGCAACGGGATCGGAAGTACTGGGCAAACGGTTCTGCCTGAGTATGCAAAGTTCTCATAAAGGAATTTTAGCTGGTGGGGGAGAAAATGAAAGAACTCTTACCTTAAATTTTGGGTAATCATTCATTAAGATGGTCACTATTCCAATGTAGGGCACAAACCTACAAGAGTAAAAAAAAAAAACTACAAGAAGAGTATTCAAGGGTGCACACAACCTCTACCGGTGTAACTGGTGATTTTTTCCTATGTCAGCCTTCTAGGTTCTTGGTGCTCAAGGCCCAATGGTGCCTTGTGGCAATCTGACCCAATTCAGCAGTGCTAGGAAAAGATGACCTGCTTCAGCCAGTGCCTGCATCTCCAACCAGGCTGGCTTTCCTGAGAGCCACTGCAGCAGGAGTAGAGGCCTGTCCAAAAGGCACGTTCCTCTGCATCAAACAGGGGGAGTCAAATCACTCGTTATGCACGGCGTGCTGCAAGGGAATTCAACCAAATTAAACTGCCACCACCTGTAGCTTGTTGCTTATCCTGCTTTCCCAGCTTCTTTCAGCACAGAGAACCTCCAGCCAGGTGCCAGCACATTTCTAGCAGTAGCCACTGGGAATAAAACATTGGTGTAATACCAGCTTATTCTCTTGAGAGGAAGGAAGTGGCAATCAGCACCCAGTTTGCAATTCAGTTCAAAATACGTGAATGGCTGTGGAGCTTCCTTGGGATAGACAAAATCAGCACAGAAGCAGTATAGCTTGTAGGGTCCTTAGAAACTGCTATAGAGCAGAACAAAATCTAAACAAGCCAAGAGTCAGCTGTCTACTTCCAATTATTCTAACACTCTTCACGGTTAATTAAAGTGACACTCTTATGCGTGATTTGGAATACAAAAAAATGCTTCATGGTGAGATTTTGTGTGCGTGTGTGTGATTATCAGGAAGATGAAGGTTAGATTACATTTGGGTACTTGAGCTGTCCTGTCTAATCAAAAGAAGATCCTCAGGAAGGAGAACTTCAACAAAAAGGAATTAGGCAAGCTGTGGAGATTGGACACTGGTAGTTGTTTCCTCCTATGAGGAAGGAATTATTGAGCAAGTAGGCTCTCAGGCCTCTAACAGCTCTGATGATAACCCACACTGCTTAAGAGCCTTATTGTGAACACAGGGGTTCCACATTAGAAACTCAGATCTCTCTTGCTGGAAGGACTGTGACTCGCAAAAATAATTTTGACACATATTCTCATCGTGCCTTAATGCCAGAGCAGGCACTGCCTTTGCACTGCTGTCTGTTCAGCATCAAAATCTCACGATGCAGCTCATAGCTTGATGCCTTCACTTGGGCCAAGCTCAGAACGCAACCACATTTGTCTTTTAACCCCCCATGGTACCACTTGAAATACTTCCATGCAGGTCACAAAAGCCCAGTGGGGAGCTCACTGGGAGAGGGGGATTAACAGGCAGCAGTGGGAAGCAATACAAAAAGCTCCACTTACCCTCTTGCTCGTCCTACTACATCCTTTTTCTCCAGCCAGTGCTGCCCTCGTTTGTACAGCCCTCTGTCATCCACAGCATTGTTGTCTCCCTTCGTCAAAAATTTGATGTCACCGTTTTGCCTGGCAAAGATAAGTCAGAAAGAGAAGTCAAAGAACTTCTTAAAAGCCGCCCTAGAATTAGGGTGTTGAGACTGACACAAATGGCTAGAAGCAAACACGTCCAAGATGTTCGAGCAGGATGAAAGGGGGAAACTGTTGAATGCAGAGGAAGGAACACTGTGTTTGGGGGAAAAAATGCAAACAGAAGAATGAATTCTGGCCCCAGGCAAGCTTTCCTGCAGAGTTTAGGAACAGAACCAGCCATTTCCAGTGGAGGTTCAGCTACTGTGACTATGCATTTGACTTTTCTTGTGTCAATGCCCATCTTGCGTTATATTGAGTTCTGGGGTCTGTACTGCCATCCAAAACGGAGCGGGGCAGAGGAGGCACGGAGATGCTGCCAGGGCTGCAGCACCTCTGCTATGGAGACGGCTGAGGAGCTGGGGGTGTTCAGCCTGGGCAAGAGAAGGCTGCGGGGAGACCTCAGTGCGGCCTTCCAGGACTTGAGGGGAGCTCAAAACAGGAAGGGGACTGACTTTATATGGTCTGACTGTGAAAGGGCAAGGAGTGCCTTTGAACACAGGACATTTAGGTGACATGTCAGGAAGAAATCTTCACTCAGAGGGTGCTGAGGCACTGGAACAGATTACCCAGAGAGGCTGTGGATGTCCATCTGTGGAGGCATTCAAGGCCAGTTTGGATGGGATCCTGGGCAGCCTGATCTAGTGGCTGGCAACCCTGTCCATGGCAGAGGGGTTGGAACTAGGTGATCTTTAAAGTCCTCTCCAACTTAAGCCATTCTGTGATTCTATGAAAATGAGGCTCTGGGGTTAAAGCACACAGTTCTACTCAGTAGTGGTCAGGAACAAGCTGACACACAGAAATTATCAGGAAAGAGGGACAAACCAGAACAAACAATCCCTTTATGACATGACATGAACTCAGGATGTGCCTACATCTTGAAGGCTTTGTATGGCTCTGAACCCTCTACGTCCTTTTTGGAGAGAAGACCTGGCCAAGGTTCAGAAATGGTGAATAAGGTCCGGAGCCACTTCTGTACAAAGAAGAGACCAAGGCTCTTCAGCCTGGAAACAACAGAACTGACAGGAGATGTGACAGCAGCTCCATGTAAGTGACACAGAAACAGCTTTTCACTGCCTCTTCCAATACAACACCCAGATGCCACCAAGCAAAACCAGAGGTAACAGGTACAAACTGAACTATGTCTCAATGACAAAGTATTTTGGATGGCAAAGAATGACATCAGTAAGTGAGCAGATACCCACATCAAAATGAAAACGGGGCTATTAATACAGAATATCACTTCTTGCTTGAAACCATTATTTACTGAAAGCAGGGAAATTATCGCTGTACATTCTCTTTAATCTTTAATCCTTTCATTCTCTTTAATTTCTTCTAATTTAATCCTTCCTTCAACTAATTCTTCCTCAGTTAGCTCACCAGAACCGGCACCCAGGAGCAGCAGAACCGCTGCTCTGACCTAGAAGCAGCGCTGTCCTGCCCTGGCCTTACACACAGTGTTTTGCTCTCTTCTCCCTTCTCCAGGCATTCCCACCTGGCTGGATGGACAACCAGCAATGCTTGTTTCAAAGCATTCAAGGCACTGTGCCACTGCCTGCGGACCCCGCTGCCTCCCTGTGGTATCTGGAGAACTGCTGCTGGTTCTGTTGGCTTCCTCAGAGAAACAACAGGTCCAGCATGGTACGGGAAAGCACGTGGATCCTCACAGCCCCTGCTGCTGTCATCACAGCCAAACAACGATCTGTGTTACACGAAAGGAGAGCCTTGGAAGGGAAAAGGAGGGAAAAAAATAGAACAGATCTCTCTTCAAAGCACATCTGGCTCACAGTATGGAAATGGCAACAACCCAGCAGCTTACTTACAGAGTCCAGGAAAAGACAGAGATACCCAAAGGCACAGATAATGGTGTTTCATTCCTGAAGACTGACGGTGTGAGGAGCACACCATCATACCAAACTGTTTCCATGCTGCATCATAAACCTGTGTGAGAAGCCCACAGCAGAGCTGCTCTTCTGTTTGAAAGGTGAAAGGAAAGCCAGGCTGGCTCTCCTGCACAGCCACTGAGCCACTCTGGATGGCAGACTGTTCTGTAACACAGAGCGAACTCAATTTCATTCTGAACAACAAAGAAGAAGCTAGCAAGTAGAAAAAGCTTTTCTCCTTGAAACAATACTGCTGTGAACTGGAGCCCCAGTTGCTACAAAACTGTGGACAACAGAGTATTCTGCTTCTCTTCATTCTGACATTCCTGTCAGCTTTCACGGAGTCTTTTCACGATTTTCGTTCTCAGCCTGTAACTACAGAACCAAACTGGACTCCGGCCATCCAGAGGAAATTCCTGAATTCAGAACCACCACCAGAAAAATTGTCTTCAACTAACGAGAGAAGCAACTGATACCTCAAAGTATGAGCTGCTTCCAGTGCTCAGCTTTGGGTCTTTCATCTTTACTAACATAACGATCAAGTTTGGCTTTGTTGTTTTTTTTTTTTAATGCAATCAAAAATACTGGAGAACGGCTTGACTTCACTTCAAAATCTGGGATCGGTGCTATGGTTCCATTAAAACAAAAAAAAAGCACTGGATACCTAGTGTTCAGATAAAGCCAGGCAAAAAAAAAATAGGGTGAAGAATGTTTGGAGACAAATTGTTACACTGAGAGCACGTTTCTGCTCCTCCTTCCCAAAAACTGGCTGAAAGCAGACAGAGAATACCCTGACTTTTCTTACCTCTTCAATCACCAGTCCGAGCAGCAGCACTGGAGCCCAGATGAGACTTTTGCATGCAACAGGGGAGAAGGAAAGTAGTGTTTCACTTAAAAGAGTTCCCAAGACATCTCAAAAAGCACGTGCGCAGTGTTTGATAGCAGATTTACTGCCTATACCAACCTCCTTTTCGAAACTAAAGCTACCAAGAACCAACACTTTGAAAAACAACTAACCCACGACAGGTTCTGGGTGTAGAATCAATCTGTACAGCAAACAATCTGCTATGCCTACAACATCCTTGCAGTCAGGATTTCAGCTGAACTATTTATGTGCATGAAGCCGGCTGAGCTCGAGTTGGGCCAGGAGGGCAGTCAAGACGTTCCAACAGCTGTAGCTGCCACAAAAGCTTGAGAACCTCTGTCCCTTCAACCTCATCGGTTGACAGCAACCCAGAGCAGTTGGATGTCCCTGGAGGTGTTAAAGGCCAGGTTGGATGTGGCTCTGGGCAGCCAGGCCTACTATTAGATATGGAAGTTGACCAACTTGCCTGTGGCAGGGGGGTTGGAGCTTGTGATCTTTGAGGTCCTTTCCAACCCAAGCCATTCTATTCTTTGATAACCCTTGAATGCCACCTTTACATATAATGCAAGTGATTCATTAAATCTAGAAATGGATCTCTGAGCCTTGGTACAGCTCCAGTTCATTCCTAATTTACTCAGCAAAAAGATGCCGGGACCACATTCAAATGGGGTTACCCACTCAGCTCTCTTCTCAGCATGCCAGCTCTTCTGGCATGAAGAAACAGGGATTCAGTTCAAGATTCAGCTTTGACTCACATCCCTCACAGGGCCGGCTCTTATCCCCACCAACTGCTGGCTTTGAGCAGCCCCAATTGCTACAGAACAGACAAATAAGAAGGCTCACAACTGAAGAGAAAGTCTTGCTTGGAAAACCAAACCCTGTTCAGTAATCAAACCAGAATGATTGCTTTTTTCACTTCTTCAGACACACACTCTGCTCAACATTTTGAATACAAATGGTACAGGGACAGTGCAGCCCATCTGGACACTGAGTATAACGATGCTATAATGATTCCTACAGAGAAGAAAACTGTACAAAGAAACCCTTCCCCTGGTCCCTCAAAGTTTAAAACAGTGCACGCTGTGCTGAAAACACTCTTCACGCATAAAGTTCTACTTCAGAGGTCACTTAACACATCCATTCCTAGAGGAGACAAAGCAGCAAAGTTATGAGGCAATTTGGGATGGAAATGACAGGAGATGCTACGTGACAGAGTGAGTTCAGGATACCGGGACAGACTCCCCAGCTTGGGAACTCTGCAGCTGATCCTCACAAGGGAACCAAAGCGGATAGATCTGCACTGCTGGAAACTCTGACATTACTTCCTGCAGCACTTGGACATCTCTTAAATGAAGTTCCACCCATTACTTAACCAAGGAGATGAGGAAAAAGACAATTAATTCAACAATTGCAATAGAAGCCCCCCAAATTCTTAACATACTTCTCGTGAATTTTCAGAACACGATGGACTATAGGAATTTCCCTTCCTTCTATCCTAAAGACCACAATTTCTCCCACTCTGATTGGATCTTCAATGCGGTTTGTTAGGAACAGGAGATCTCCTCTGTGAAATGCAGGCTCCATGCTTCCACTGAAAAAGAGAAGAGGAGCAATTAAGCAATATTTAAACACTGAGAATCAGGCTTCACCAGTTATAGCCTTTTAAGAGAAAGCTTGCCGTGTCTTTAAAGAATGTCTAAGATAATGGCACAGGCCTGGAGGACTGGCACGTGTCTGACCCCTGCTCCATCTGGGTTTTCTATCACTATACTAGCAGCAATTAAGATCAGTGCCAGCGGGGAGGGTTAAAACCATACCAAAGGAAAGTCATTACGCTCTCTCCCTCGTAACAGGGCTGGCAACCAGCAGCACCTTCTCTACAAGCACTGAATTCATTGTGCTATGCTGGCAGTGCTGCAGTGGTGGGCAGGCAGCTTTTGCATTTTGTTTTTTCACAGGTAGATGGACGGCCCTTGAGAACACAGCGCTGAAAACACACGGGCTCTTATGCTCCCATCTGGAACAAACAGACGGGCGTGCTGAAAATCTGTTATTGTGATTCATCACTTTGCTTAACTATCTCATTTCAGGCACTGCTATTCAAGTTGTTTTTCCCCTGTCCTGAAAATGACGACTGTTATCAAATACTAACCTTCCTGCTTTCAAATCAATAATGCGATACAGCAGGAAACAATGAACTTTCACTGTTTTATCTCAAGACAGTAGAGAAGCTGCTGTTTTGGAGATAAGAAGAGAGGATGTGACCCAAAGGCCCATGTCTGACTCACTGGGAAGAGCAGAGCAAAGCATCTCCCCTGAACTTCAAGGGATCCATCAGGAGTGCCACTTGCTTCTAAGTCTTTTCTTTTTGAGCCTTGTTAAATGGCATGAGGCAATTAACACCAATGTAGAAATGCACTGAAAGGCCAAAGCAGCCACAGAACAGGACACGCGTGGTACCCATGCAGCACCTGGCCGTGCCTGCACCCAGTCAATGCCCAAGAACTCCACCAGGACGAACCTGTCCCAGAAAGGAGGAGGACACAAGCAGGGCACACCATCAGTGGCACCCATGGTATCATGCTTTTGTGAGGCTACGCAGCATCTGAAACATATCCAGTTATGGTGATATCCCTTATTTTCTGCCTGTAGGGGAACTGCTGGATCACAGCCTGATTGACCACCTGAGGGGAGCACCGAGTCAGCCAGGAGCACAGGTGAAAGCGATTCAGCTGCGTGATCAGAAGGGGTGCAGCCTGGTTCCACCTCTCCTAACCCCACTGAAGGGCTGACTGCCACTCAGGAAGGATCTCTCTCTGGAGATTGCTTCTTGTGGAGTTTCCTGTGAGCCTACAACACTGGTGAGCACTTTCCACTTATCTCTGATTATCTTTTCCAACGTCATAATCTCACCAGCCTAACCTTCTCTGAATACCTATCGATCATCCAATACTTTACAACATTTGTACACTTATTTCTCTTACACAGTCACACATGTACCAGGGTATGGCTGCAGCTCCCTTTCTCCTAGCTCACTAGAAGATCAGGGGGAAAAAAATAAGTAGCTGTGAAAAACATAATGGATACCAGTGAGGATGCAACATAACGTCAATAATGCTCATTGGTAGTGGCAAGCCCGGTCCTATTTAAAAAAAACTCTTCCCTGTAAGAATTTATTTGCTAGCATCTCAAAGACATCAACCTCTTTGTTCATTAATTGAGACTTGTTGCATTCTTCAACCACTCATACAGCAGCAGCAACAAGAGAGGCGAACAGGAGGCGACTGTGCTGCAATGCCCTGCTGCTATGGCCTCTACAGCAGGATGTGCTGCAACCTCAGTGACAAGGCGAGCCCTGCCACAAGCACTGCTTTCATGCAGCAGCATGTGTCCCCAAACCACTGGTGCCAGGCCTCCTGCTTCAAGGCCTTCCTTTCCCATGCTTCACCCGAGGGTTTTTCCAGGAGGTCTGATAGAACTCGAAAGCGCTTGGATCAAGCTCTTTGATGTCCTCTAGTTTCTTCTCTGTCCCTCCTCCAGGACCACCCCTGTCACGTACGTACTTGACAGCTGACAGAAACAGAAGATGCTATTTCTACACAGGGTGATAAGTTTCGCCTTCCTGCTTCACAGAACCATCAAACAGCTGAGGTTGGAGGGGAGCCCTGGGTCCATCTGGCCCAGTCCTGCCCGGCACGGAGCAAAGTGCTCACATCCAGGTGGCTTCTGAACGTCCCCACATACAGAGGCTCCTCAGCCCCTCCGGGCAGCCTGTGCCGGAGCTCCATCACCCGCGCTGTGCTGGCTGACGGTCAGTCAGAACCTCCTGCTCTGTGCCCGGCACCGCTCAGCAGCGCCCGTCCTCTCCCTGCGGGCATTTCATCCTCTCCCCCGTCTTCCACTGACACCGGAGATCCTCAGAGAGGCTCTGCCCAACCAGGACCCGGCAGCCGGGATGGACGCAGGGCCACGTCTCTAGAGAGCATGCTCCAGAGGGCCGGACGCCCAGGCACCGCCAGAACCAAACCGCGGCCGCGACCCCAACCGCACCGCGCCCACCGCCTTCACCTCAGCACCACCACGATGGGGCTCTCGCTGCCCGTCACCACCATCAGCCCCTTCCAGATCATGAGGGCGGACGAGACGATCATGCCGAAGTTCAGCACCTGGTAGTAGAGCTGGGGGGGAGGAGAAGGGGGCGGCGGGGTCAGGCTCGGCCGGGGTCTGCGCGTGCCCGCTTCCGCCCGCCCCGCCGCGCACCTGCCGTTTGTTCATGCGCCGCACATCGTCCAGAAAGTCCAGCGACAGCATCGCGGGCACCACGGCGGCGGCCCCGCGCCACTTCCGCTTCCGCCCGCGCGCTCGGCCGCTTCCGGCCCCGCCCCGCCCGGGAAAAGCGGGAGCGGCAGCGGAAGGGGGCGGAGGAGCGGGGACGGAACCAACGGGGGTGGAGGAGGGAGGGGGGACCGGCGGAGGGAGGGGGGACCGGCGGAGGGAGGGGGGACCGGCGGAGGGAGGGGGGACCGGAGGATCATGGGATCCCGGCCCGTGTCCTGTGCGGGGCCCGCCGCGTCCATGGGGCGCCTACAGCTCTGGGCAGCAGCGCTAGCGCCTCACCGCTCTGTGCTCGCAGTGCGCTCCTCGCACCTCACCGCAGTGTCCTCTGTTAAAGCCGTCCCATTTACCGCTACCTGCAGCCTTCTCTTCCCCAGGTTGAACACCCCCAGCTCCTCAGCCCGCCTCCTTGGCCCTCCTCCGGCCCCGCAGCCCCCCTCTGTTAAGGGACAGAAGATGACAGCAAGGAGACGGCAAGGAGATGCTGGCAGGAGGAGGGGACGGCGGTGACAGGGCGGGGATGGCGGGCAGGAGCCCCTGGGCTGTGTCCCTACCCCTGCCGGCTGTATCCCTTCAGCTCCAGTCCCCTCCAGCCCCATGGCCTTCCCCTCGGCAAGCAAACACCACACCAGGAGCACTGTTGGATGCTTTTATTTGAAATACTTTGAAGTAAACATTATAGCAAGGCACAAATGCCACTGCAGATTAAATAGATATGTGATGGCTTGGGAGTGCCCCCGCTATCGTTACTCTACGTAGGCTACCTTGTAAAACATTCCCTAGGCTAATGTACACAGTATCAAAAAATACAAAGAGTCCAAACTGTTTGTATCAAAACACGTTGAGACAAGAAAGTGAGCAATTCATATGCAATAAGATAAATAGTTCTTAAATTATTTAAACATTGTCATAGTAAACAATAACGAGCAGGATTCTGCCTCAACATAAAAAAAAAAGTATAGAAGATAATTATATTACATGAAACGCGTGTGTTGGGGGAACGACGAGGAAACGGCACGGACAGAGTCAATATGACTACGTGGACATAAACGTCTCCAAAGGAATATGGAAAACTGAGGCAATAGGACAGCGGCTTCCCGGCCCCACCAGCCTCGTGGGGACCCTCATCACCTCCCTGCCAGGAACCCACAGGCCCCGGTGAGAAGTTCTTGTTTTCGGGACCGCGATGCCCTAATGCAGAGAGAAGAACTGTACCCACACACCTCCCTCTCCCTGTGGTTGTGCTCTCCCAGAAAGGGGCTACAAAATTCTGTTTTGGGGTGATTAAGAATCACGATGCTTCATTAAATTACTTTTTGGAAAATGTGACTGTTATTAAAGTAGTTACTTAAATGCAAGCTTGAGTACAACTCAGGCCTGTCCCATTAAACACAGACAATCTCGGATCGGCCAGCACGGCCCTGACACACGTGCTTTGCTGAGATAGCATTATGAATTAAAATGAATGAAACAAAGGCAAAACGGGAAAAGTAAGTCATAAATAGGAGGAGACAGAAAGGGAGATGGGGAGGCAAGGCTGGGGCTGCGGGCAGCGGCTGAAGCAGTGCACTCAAAGGAGGAAAGCTCATCTTCAGGGAACTGCAGCTGCAGAAAGTGCTCCTTGATCCTCAGGAGCTGCACAAACTCCAGGGAGGATTCTCGCCCTGCTTTCCCTTTTCAACTCTCTGAGCTGGCAGAGAGTTAGTGCTCAGGATGCAATGGCAGGTAATTTCTTTTCCAAATTTCCCTTACAAATGGAAGTTAACGGAAAGCAATGTCTATCCCAAGAAATCAACAGAACGTTTCAATGATTTGCCCCATCCCCACCCAGTATTTTGAGTAAAAACCCCCAGAGAAAAAGCCCCAACAGAGCAAAAAGTTTCTGTTTCGCTTCTAAGTCTTAACAGACTTTGAATGATTGTTCTGAGAGGTGCTACGAGGACCCTCCACACCACACGTCTGCCTGTGCTCACAAAGAGCTGAGTCAGTTTTGCACTCTTTGCATTCCAGGCTTTCCTCTTCCGCCATAGTGTTCATCTCGCCATTATACCCCTCGTGTCCGTTCTCATTCGTCTCCGCTCGTAGCTTCTCCCTCTCCTCTCCCTCCTCCTGCTCCTCCTCATCCTCTTCTTCCTCCTCTTCCTCCTCATCTTTTACTTTGTGAACAATGAAGAGGTGTCTGTTCAGAGAGATCTGAGATGTGTAACACAAGCCGCAGAACAAGCACTGATACGTGGAGCTGTCTGTCTTGTGCTGAGGTATGTGCTCCTGGAACTCAGTACTGACGTCTGTTGCAAACCCACATTTTGCACATTTCCAGTGCGCTTTCAGTTTTTTGGCCGGCGGTGCGTCTGAACCTGCAGCGGTCCCTGCCTGCCCCACATCGTTCGTCGTCATCCTCTTTGGAGATCTTGCCTTAAAAAATAAGATTAACAAGTTACTTCATCGTTTGAGCCCACAGAAGAATAAGCATCTTAGTTTGCTGAATTCCACACATACACGTGAAGGCACCTGAGGTGAATACACACAGGCATTCTGTCACAAACTAAACAATGGCATGCCTGGGGGCTCCCCTCACACTGCCTTCCCTGTCGATACCCAAACACCTTGAGGTTGCAGCAATGCCTCCTCTGCCCCTTGTCACAATTTGCAGGATGTCAGCTGCTGTCCTGCAAGGCGAGATGGGAGCTCTGGGAGGAGCCGGCAAGGCAGAAAAACCACGGGAAGGAGAAGCTGAAACGTTTTCCCCTCTACTCTGCCTTTTTCTTCACGCCACCTCTCACAGCCTCATGCCCTGTACCGCACCATCCTGCAGCGCGGTCTCCTCCTACGAGGACGGCTTGATCACGTGTCCTTTGTGTCATTTTGCTATCTCCCCATCCAGCAGCACTGCACAGCCTTTGTTTTGCATACAGTTTGGCTTCCATCTGGAACAGAGCTAGAGCGGTGTGCAGCCAGCTCACAGCTGCAGAGCTCTGCACGGGGGAAGCGGCCACCAGCTCACAGAATTCCAGATTTCCCTTTCTCCCTGCCTGGGATCACAAATAGAGAAGGGTCTTGGTTGCAATCCCTCAGTGCTACGGGACCGGGGACAGATAAATAGAGACAGATTTTCCTTATTGCTTCTGTTTTTAAACTGACTGGAACAAGGAGCTCAACCTGCCAACCTTCCGCTCCAAACCAGCCCAAAATAACATCAGTTGAACGGTTACAATTGTTGGGAAAAAAATGGCACAGTCCCACTGCAGAGGAATGCAGTGCTTACATGTAACAGATCTAGTAGGAGCTAAACCAGAAACCTTTGTGCAAGTAGTAACAAAAACATGAGGGAGAAAGCAGAAAAAATGTACCAGACTCCCATACCTCAAGGAAACTGTGCAGCGGTATGGGGAGAATGAGGGTAAAAACAAACCCTAATTAGTTCTGGTTGCAAAGTGGTCCAAAAAAGGCCAGTAAACACAGGGCCGTATGTTCAAAACCATCTTGAAAAAGGCAAGATGCGTTGCCCCAGCGCTGCTGCAGCTCAGCTGCACTTTCAGTTCAGATCACGACACTGCTAGAAACAAACTAGAAGGAATTTGGAGAACAGGAGGGAAATCTGCCATATTTCAAAGCAAGAGGGCTTCACTGCCACCAATACCACTCGTTTTCTGCCCCGTGTGGACAGCTACTTGCCAGATACATCTATTTTTGAATGAAAATGTATGAGTTACTTCTGCTGTGTCTCTCTCTGGAGCTTTTGCTTTGGCCATCTGGGATAAGTCTGGGTTTTTGATGCCATGCATGAGGCTGATGTGATTCTCCAGCATGAACGGCTGAGGAAATGTTTGATTTTCGTCTGTGCAGTACCTTGGAAATAAATACAAAACAAAGAAAATTTATTAGAGGAAATGCCCCACTGTTCTTTCATCCAAACAGCTCTTCGTTATGCGCCACACCAATAGGTGTCATAGGAGACAGCAGTTGTTGAGTAATGCACTATTAAATTACCAAAAGAGACAGAAAATCACCATTTTACTAATAAAATATTATCCCTGACAGAAATCCATAAAAGTTTACCGCAGTAAGGACGAGCAAGAACAAAAGTAGGGCACGTATTATTTACAGCACAGCACTTAATGAATACAGGGATGACTGGAGATCAGGCCCGCTGTGATACACGCCGCAGAAGCACCAGGTAAGTAATCAAGATGAAAGAAGAACAGGAGAAAAGCAGCTTTCGGGAGAGCAATGCACAGGGAGACCTCATTTTGTGTGCAACGAGGAGGGGCCCTGCAGGTCCCACTACCAGTGCAGTATCACATCCACAGGACCTTGTTTATCATGGCACACTTGAAATTCTTACAAAACCTCTCAACTTCCAGCCCACGTGTCAAAAGCCCTCACAAATGCATCATTTATGTGGAACTAAATACATGAAAACCCAGAAGGATCTAAAAGCTGCCAGAAACGACACTGAAGCTTCAGAAGGAGATGTGAAGTGGAAGAGCCAGCTACTAACTTGCCCTGTCGGACGACCAAGGTCTACTGGAAATAAGCACCAGGAATATAAACCACCCCTCTGCAGCACGGCCAGGTGCAAAGAGCACTCAGAAAGCGGTCAGGAAAGCCAAGGTTGACTTTGTACTCTTCTGCTGACCGCCAGTGTGACGTGGGGAAGCTCCACGAGCTGGGCATCAACCCGAGTGGTGAGGCAAGGAACATCGTACCTCTCTGCAATGCACAAATTGCAGCTGAAACACAGGCAGCAGGGGATGAAAAGCAGCAAATCGAGGGTGAAGCAGATCTGGGAGACAAAGGCCTTTTTTAACAGGAGAGAAAAAGGTTTCTACTGATCTTCCAGCTTCTCCACTAGATGGAAAAACAACGGTCAGTAATGATGTTAGAACACAGATGTAGTCACCAAGTATTTCTGTTGTGTTTTTTTTTTGAACAGGAATTGCTTAGATGATAAATCAGTATTTAATAATGATGGGATTTTTCTCCTTCAAGGAGGCAAGAGGAGGCTATTAAGTG